AAACGTGATAGTAGTAGTCGCAGTCAAAGTAGTAGCGGTAGTAGTTGTAGTAGTAGTAGTAGTAGAAGTGGTAGTAGTAGTAGTAGTAGTAGTAGTCGTCGTCGTCGTGGTAGTAGTAGTTGTTGTTGTAGTAGTCGTGGTCGTAGTCGTCGTCATCGCAGTAGCCGTAGTAGTCGTAGTAGTCGTAGTAGTAGTAGTAGTAGTAGTCGTAGTAGAAGTAGTAGTGATAGTAGTAGTAGTAGTAGTAGTAGTAGTAGTAGTTGTAGTAGTAGTAGTAGTAGTAGTAGTAGTAGTAGTAGTGGTAGTAGTGGTAGTAGTAGTAGTAGTCGTCGTAGTCGTAGTAGTAGTAGTAGTAGTAGTAGTAGTCGTGGTAGTAGTAGTAGTTGTTGTTGTAGTAGTCGTGGTCGTAGTCGTAATCGTCGTAGTAGTCGTGGTAGTCGTAGTAGTAGTAGTAGTAGTAGTAGTAGTAGTAGTAGTAGTCGTAGTAGTAGTAGTAGTAGTAGTAGTAGTAGTAGAAATAATAGTAGTAGTAGTAGTAGTAGTAGTAGTAGTAGTAGTAGAACTGGCAAGAGTAGTAGTAGTCGTAGTAGTAGTAGTAGTAGTAGTAGTAGTAGTAGTAGTAGTAGTAGTAGCGGTAGTAGTAATAGTAGTAGTAGTAGTAGTAGTAGTAGTAGTAGTAGTAGTAGTAGTAATACCCCCGAGTCGCACAAGATCGCTCCAAGACGCCTAAGATGGTCTCCAGACGGCCCAAGAGGCCCACTAGTACGCCCGAAGAGGGCTCGAAAAGCCCCCCGAGAGAGCCCGAAGAGGCCTTGGAAGAGGGCCCCGAGAGTCCCAAATCAGCAGTGTCCCTTAGGCGTTTCCCCAAGACGACCCAAGAAGGGCATGAACCGACATTTCGAGCCCTCCGCCCCAAGATGACCCCCGAGACGTGCAGACGTGCGACTTCTGTTCAAAATGAACAGGAACTGCTGTCGGTGTTGCCGTGGGCGTCGTCCATTGAGACAGAAGGCCACCTGCACAACACCAGCCGCTGTCGGTGTTGTGCAACAGTTGTGGTTGGGCATCTTACCCATTTTTGTTCGTGCCCATTTCGATCGCACCGAGAGGTCGATAGAAGGATGAGGCGGCGCTCGTGGTGGCCCCTAGGCACGCAAGCACAGCCCTGGCCTCCGACGCCGAGACTCTGTCACGTCAGCCCTAGAGCCTTGAGAGCAAAGTTCTCGCCACCGGCTGATTCAATATCAAGGAAAATCGTTCAAGACGGCCTGAGAAAAAAGGGGATGTGAGTCTCCAGCTGGGCATGTTTCCTAATCCCACCTTGGGATCACCCCCCTTTACAAACTCCCGACACGAGCTGAGTCTGTAATCTCCAGGAGCCGAAATCACAGAACCCCCCGAGCGTGTTTCATTCTCGGGGCCGCCGGGAGATCTGGACACGCGCGTGAGCACCCTACCCCTGCAGGCTGCAGATCTCACTCCTGAAAGACCAGCGGGTGATCAGAATCCGAAGAATGCAGCAGCCGGGTGCACCCTTGCGGGAGAGGCCGATACCCCTGCGCCGATATTCACGTCCGACCTGGGTCCAGCTCCCTCTGCGTATCCAGCTCCCTTGCACGTACAAGGGTTGCCGGCGAGCCCGGGAGGGAAGTGAGAAGGGGCAAGCCTTCTCAGAAGGCTCAGAAGGCCTTCTCAGAGGGCTTCGCGCTCCGGAACCTACCCCCCCTTCCTTTCCAAAGGGGGGGGGCTTAGCTACCCCCCCTTGGACCTCCCCTGTCTGACCCCACCCCTGTCTTTTTTTCCACCCCTCGGAAGCTACCCCACCATTGTTGCGCTCAAGAAGCAGCTACCCCCAACTCCCTCAAAGGGGGAGCTCTTAGCTATCCCCACCCATCTAAACCTCTCCTGCGGAAGCCGCCCCCCCCCTCCCCTGCTTTTGGCTAGAGAGGGCGGGGGCATGAAAGCCCAGAAAACCAAAAGGGCGCTGAAAACCAACAGAGCGCCAAAAATCAACGGGCCAGGGAAAACGAAAAAGTGCGAAAACCAGAGCGCGCCGAAAACCAAAGGAACGCCGAAAACCAAAAGTGCGCCGCAAACCGAAGGAGCGGCAAGTCCAAAAGGGCGCCGACAAACCAAGGAGCGCCAAAAACCGAAGGAGCGCCGAAAAGCGAAAGGACGCTGAACACCAAACGATCGCCGAATTAGCGAAGGGGCGCCGAAAACCAAAGGCGCCGAAAACCAAAAAAAACGACCAAAACCAAAGAGGCGTCGAAAACCAGAAAAAGGCTCCGAATACCAGCGGGGCGTCGAAAACCCAAGGGGGGCCGAAAACAAAACGAGCTCCGAAAACCAGCACAGCGCCGAAAACTCGAAGGGCGCCGTAAACCAAAGAGCGCCGAAAACCACAAGGGCGCCGAACACCAAAGGGTCGCCGAAAACCAATAGGGCGCCGACAAACACAAGGACGCCAAACACCAAGAAGACACCGAAAACAAAAACG